TTTTTCTCCAAATATTTCCATCCAATCTATATTGGAGTGCATCATCTGTCTCATACGAAAGTCATAAAAATGTTCTGCACCAGCATTTATTAATTGATAATACAATAAGTACAAGTTATTTTGCGCCATCTCTTTGCAATTTCTTTAAATACAATTTCTTCCTATTATAAATTTATACGCACAATAGGAATTAAAATTAATGAACTTATGTGCGTTAATACCTGCGAATAAAAATTTAATTGACAAAATTATATAAAATCACATAAACCGCTTGGCATTAAATTACCCTCTAATTCAATTTAAAAATTGACGAAATTGAACCATAGATATTGCGTATAAGTAAATGCTTGCCTCGTTAATCTTGAATTTCATGCGATTTAATATTAATTTACAATGTTTTATAGAAAGAAAGAAAAAACAAATTTAATATCGTTATATCTTTACCGTTCTTTTTAATTAAATTGTTATTCACCACTTTCCAACATTTACATTGGCCCTTAGATGCCCTTAGATAGTGAATTAGATTAAACCTTTTGAAAATATAACTTGATTAAGCATCGATATTCATTTTATAATAATAAATAAGACTATTAAACATTTCTTCATTAAAAGCCATATTCATTAAATAGTTTTATGCTTACTATTGGTTAAAGAATAATGTTCAAAATTGTATTTTGATAAATGATAATTAGGTATATGCTATCGTACTACCCGTACATGGATGAGATGATTGATTAGCAATCAATGATCTGAAATGTTTAAAAATCCCCCTCTAATATTCTCGAATAGCACACGCGTCCATGCAATAGAGTCAGAGAAGTAAAAATTTTTAATCATATGTACACAGTCGAAGGCTAAAAAAATTTCGCCCACGATAATTTGTATTTCGGTAATATCACCCCCGCACATCCCTAACAAATATTAATGCTGTTTGACACGTTTAATTAAATCGCTCGATCAAATATCTCGCATTATATGCTTATTATCGATCGATCGATAACTCATTAATTCATTACATGCTTGCAATGACAATTAGGCTAACTTATACGCGCAATTATGAAATATAATTTTATTCACAACGAACGGAGGCAGCAAGTCTAACCGCCTTAATATTTTTCATACGAAAACTTTCTCGAATTCGTATCTTCTCCAATCTAAATGCCAGAGTATCATCGTTATGCATATTTGTAAATAATAATCACGAAAGAGCATGAGAATATCTATTAAAAAATCAAGACCATCGTACACCTCGCCCACAACCCTTGGACGAAATAACAATTTAGTAATCGCAATAATCGGAAGAAAAATGATATCGTTTCGCTTACCTGGCGCCAGCTGACCGAGAGGATCATCCTGCTTACGCTTCATAGCGCTACCGATCTGCAGTCCCTGTGGCTGCTGTTGCTGTTGCTGCTGTTGCTGCTGTTGCTGCTGCTGCTGCATAGGGACGGTACCGGCGGTGGAAGCCGCACCCGTCGACGTCGTAACGTCCTGCGCTTGCGCCATGGGCGCATACATTCCTGCGAGCTCAAGCTCCTTTAGATCCTTTTGCTGTTGCTGCTGTTGCTGCTGTTGCTGCTGCTGCTGCTGCTGCTGCTGCTGCTGCTGTTGCTGCTGTTGCTGCTGTTGCTGATGTTGATGGTGCTGTTGCTGCTGTAGATGATGGTGCGGTGGCTGGTGATGGGTAGGTGAGCCGCCCGACGAATCTACCACATAGCCAAGATAATCGCACGTTTTAACGACATTGATGTGCGATTTTTAATGGAAAATCTTTAGATAAGGACGCGAAGGTTGGAATTTCCATGCCGGGGGTATTGCCGACGGGCTCGTTTGCATGCTTGCCTGAGGAATTGAAGGATCCAAGATCTTACGTTGTGTCGATATACCAACGAATTATAATGGATTTGTTGACGTATAATGGGTAATTAGAGCGAGTTAATGCAGCGGCTAACATTACGTATAATCGTGGGAAAATTAATGTCGCTCCAACTAGTAGTAATTCTAATGATAAGCCAATGCTTATCACACAATATCTACTATCCGAGTCAAAATTCTCGTTGCGCTCGAACTATAAGTCACAAAGTAGGCCATCAAAGCTGTATAAAACGAATCTAACGTCTCCCGCCAATACATAATAATACAAAGATTAAAAAATTTAAAAGAAAAAAATTAATAAACAATAAAATAAATAATAAATAATAATAAAAAATAAAAAAAAAGCAAGAACTACATAAACGAGGGGCGGAGGCGAGATTAATGAATTACCGAGTTTATGCAGGTGTCCGCTGCCCGGCGGCATGAGCTCGGCCCCATGGTGGTTGCCGTGCAGGCCGAGCATAACCTGGATGCTGTGGACGCCGGTGCCGCCGCGAGCTCCGAAGTCCGAGAAGATCGGGTCGTCGAACGGACCACCGTCCATACCGTAGATCACCTCAATCTTGACTCGTTGGCTGTGACCCCGTCAACCCGAATAGCCAATCCCCAAGGACTCGCCGGAGACTTCCCGTCTCCAATAGCCACCCGATCGATCGCTCGCGCCGAACCGACGATTAACCGCCTCGCGCACTATCTCCTCTTCCTTCCACGTGCGAGTGAATCTCCACCAATTGCTACCAATTGCCGAGGTGGCTCCTGGTGGGCGATCGTTCAGCTCCGTGAGATAGCGGTGGGGGCCGCCAGGGTAGGGGTTGAATGTGGCGTCGGTGGGGGAGCAGGAGGGGGAGTAGTCGGTCAACCGAGAGGAGGTGACCGCGCGGGAGCACTGGTTCCACGAGATCGGGGGTATCGGTGAGAGAGTCCGCGGGCGAGAGGACGAAGAGCTGGAGATGCGCCGAGGCTCGCGCCGCGACTGCGAAGCTCCTCACCGGAGCCAGCGATCCCTAGTCTCTTCTCTTCTCCCCGTCTATCAGTCCCGAGCCACCGACGCCAGCGTTTATATAATTTTTTAACGAGGCGCCTAAGAAGGATTGGCCCGTCGACCAATGGCGCGCTACTCGCTCGACCGGCGTCCAATGGGGAAGGAGGCGCGAGTCACGCTGGGCTGGACGTCAACGGCGAATCAACGCCTGGGAGTTGTGTGCGCGACCTACTCGCTGCTTTTTCTTCGTCTTTCAACGAGGGTCCCCCGCTCCACCCACCCACCCCACAACCAATCCCCCCTCCCCTCCCGGCCCCTCGCCACCCTCGCCACGGCAAACCCAAACCAACACGATCCATCCCACTCAACCGGGGGACGTAGAGGCCTCCCTTGTCGGCAATTGACGAGAGCCCAACAAAGATGATCGAGCCGAGCTGAACTGCGGACGAGCCCATGAGAACCTGCGCCGATGGGTAGTCGCGGATCTTGACCTCCCCCTTGTAGCGCCTTTCTCGCTCGTCTGTTCGATAAACAAGGCCAAAGATGCTTGGCTCGAAGACGCGCAAAGTTCTTTGTTGGTAGGGAAGATAGGATGGACGAAGGATCCGATGAAGCGAAATTTTATAGATCGATCGATTACAATTAATTACGACTAATGAGGAGAAAGTGAATTTGCATTTATAATGATTGAAAATTAATGGTGGGAAAGGAGCGATAAGGTCGATTGTAATAATTCTATCGTATCGTGTAATTTAGATTGTTGGACGATAGATCGTGCAAATTAAATCGTCATGTTTTAACGTGAAATTGTAAAGACTGAGCGTGTAAAGTTTTGACAAAGATATTGGCAACTAAGTCATAGGGATTTATAAAATGTCATTCGATTCATTAGATAATTCCGTAATAATATAAGTTTTTCGACATTTGAGTAAATATATGTTATACACCACTTCCATCAACATTGTAATTATATTATCATTATTAAGTTTGACATTTGGACGTTACAGATTTATTTAGAGGGAATTTTTGTAATTTTACGTAAGCATATCGAATACTTATTATATGATATGCTTTTTAATGATTCGTGGCAGAAAGTAGTAAGGAGTCGAAAATGCAATAACAATAACATTACATATATATTTTTGTATGTGCTGATCGGTAAAGTACTAACTGTTTTTTCAATTAAAATAATAAAAATATCATTCTACGTTTCTAAAGCAAAAAGTATCCCATCACAGATTATAATGACTTTGTACTAAAACTAAATTTTACAATGCAAAAAAAATAATCAGATATTACAAAACTATTGATCACATCTTTAATAGTATTGTAATTATATTGTTTTATTGCTCTTTTGGTTTGATTTGAACATTCAGTAAAAACTTGACATGAAATTATACAACGCATTATAATAAATATGTTTAATAAGTATTTATTATTTTTAAAAAAAATAAATAAAAAAAAATAATATATTTATGAGGTAAAATTGTAAAAACATTTTATGAAACTTAAAAGCTTATTTTTGCCTACATCTCGGCAAAATCTCCCACTCGATTCGTAAAATAAAACTGTAGATGTTGAGAAGATGAATAATTGTTTTTTATGAAACATAAAAGTGAGTTTTTGAAGGAATATTTTATTAAATAAATAATTCATAATTTACTACTTACCTTCGAATAGATTCATCGTATGCCGTTTAATACAAAAGTTTACCTAATAAAGAAGAAGAAGAAGAAGAAGAGAAAAGAAAGAGATGAAAAAAATTATCTGGTTGTTTTTGTTTGTAATTATTCGACTTTATATTATATTTATATTGGATTTAATTATTATCGAAAGTAAAGATGAGAAAATAATCATATTGTACATTATATATGTTAATAGTATTCGTATTATTATTATAATATCCTATTTACCTATTTATTTGCAATCATCATAGAAAAATAATATGATAATAATAACAAATAATAAAAATTATTGCAATAATTTGTAAAAATAAGCTTATTCAAATAAACCGATCCACTTATTTGAACATTTTTACCGTCGAAATTCCATAATAATATTTGAAATTTAAAAAATCCATTTAATATTTTCTCATATTTCCTATGAACGACGCAGTTACTTAATATATAAATGCTGATAATCAATAAAAGTTTACATGCACATGATTTATGCTTATCACTTATTTTTAAATTAATTAATTAATAACTAAAAATATTTTATAAAATGGGTAGAGAAGTTGATTATGAAATAAATAATTACGTGTTTGTAATGAATGTTGTATCTTTATTCAGAGAAAAGGTAAAATGTTCTTATCAATATGGAAATAATAAGTCTGCCGTAAATGCCATTAATTTTGATGGACAATATTAGTGATTAATAATTTTATAAAATCTTTTTTACAACGTATTAATGACATAATAAAGGTGAATTATTAAAAACTATGGAACGTCCCTATCAAACATATATATATATATATATATATATATATATATTTTACAGTAAGATTATTCTATTTGTCATACAATCTATATTTATTGGATATCTATATTATTCAGATATTAATATCCATATTATTTTTTGTGCTTTTATTAATTATAATTCTCACTAGATATTTTTATAGTTTTAATACTTCGCAGAATATGTCATATTTTCGGCAATTCATGGGTATCCTATTAATAAGTACTATTTTTTTAAATACTTTGATAGTATTTTATATATATATATAAAGTTTGTTCATTTCATAGGTATAAGATACGGATAAATTTTAAGCATATTAAATACATCTTTAACGTGAAATATTATTATAAATAATCATAAGTAATTGAACTTGACACGAAAGACAAATATAATTATGATAATAATTTATATATAACATATAAAAATTTTAAGCGTATATATATATATATATAAATAATTTAAATTGTTAAAATATCTACAGTGAAAATTAATTTATGTAATGTACGTATCATCGAATGCTTCCTTATTTAATAATCATTGTAATTGTACAATAATTATTACAATACTCATATGTAATTTTTGTAATGTTAACGTCCCTTTATAATTTATTTTGACTTTCTATATTCTTCAAAAGCGAATATCAAAATATTATAACTTTATATATTTGACTACACTCTTATTTATTTTCTTATTTATTTTCTTTTTCAGCTGAAAGTACATTTTGTTGTCACAATACATTATGACTTTTTCTGCCATTGAAACTTGTAATGTAGATAAAACAATGTAATTTTAATAGTTGTCCGTTTAAAGAGCAAATATTATTTTTCATCTTGAGATTTTCTATCCTTATTAAGGAATAATGTACATGAAACAGCTACAATAAATTTTATATACAATAATCTATAAAAATTCCTCAAAATTTTTCAACATTTGATTAAATTTAATTTGTTCATTAAGGGCTAAGTAATTTTCAGTATATAATCACAATTTTAAGATGCAAAGATGCAACAAAGTAATTGTTTATGCAGATATAAGAAATTGAAACTAGGATAACTCATTTCGTCATTCATCATAAATGAAATAAGAATAATGAAAGGAGGCGTTAAAAGTATTATCTGCGATGCGTAAGCCTTGAAAAAAGTCTCGGATAGCTGATAAAAGTAATTTAACAATTGCTAGAAAACATTCGGCTTGATCCATTGGCAATTATTCTCGATCGCTGACAATTCAACCGACTTTACAACTACTTGTGAATTTTCGCTCCTGATGCATTCCACTTGTTAGTTTAGTTCAACGGGAAACGGCCCGTTAAAAATTTCTACATATACGTATAAAGCGAGGAGGAACCACTGCGTTCCAGTCACCGCCCGACAAACAATGCCATTGATAATACATTATTAGTTGAGATGAAATCAGGATTGTAGAAGTTAATTCGACGCGAATATTGAGTAACGAAGTAGTAACGAAGGAGTAACGAAGGAGTAACGAAGGAGTAACGAAGGAGTAATGAACGGGTAAAGAATGAGTGAGCGTGTGCTCCTTAAGGAAACGTCCTTAAAAGCGATGTTGAATGCCCGAGGAGCCGAAGGACAAGAGTGCCTGAAACATTACATTATCCGTTACGTACAGCTTTAAGGCATAAGCATCGTCTCGGTGAAAATTTTTGACGAACGTCGTGCCACTAACATCGTCCATTGTCCGACAGCCAATCACTGCTCAATAAATAATCAGTCACCCAGCTCAGCCACCAGGTTACGCACTCAAAAACCGACCTCCTTTCCATTCGGATATCAAATAGCTTAAGCTCAGCTCCAACACTTTCACACAGCACGAGCGCGTCGTCCTCCTCCCTCCACCTCCACCTCCACCTCCACCTCCACCGCCCCAAAACCCACCTCACCCCACCCACCCAACCGCCCAAGGGCATAGTAAGAAGCCGAGTGGCCGCACCGAGTCGGCCACGTCGCTGCCTGCGGCCTTGTAAACGACATGGCCAGGAAGGGTGCTGAGACTGCTCCGACTCCGACTAAACGGCTGGCTGGGCCGCTCGGGTGCCTGGTCGGGGCCTTGGTCCGGTCATCCGCCATCTTGTCGTCGGCCGCGACTCTTCCGCGGACTATCGAGAAATTGTTCTGCCACCCGCCGACGTCTTTTCCATTCGCTCGGGAAAAGGCCGCGTTGGTCCACGTCGGTTGGCCGGCGGCGTGGCACTGAGTCTCCGGCCGTCACGAACTCGCCGAGCGCGGGCTCAATGAAACCGGCAATCGCCAGGAATTGCCTCGAATTGGCCCAATCAAACTACCCCCATTCAATGCGTGTGCGCGCACACGCGCGTATTAACGGCTAATTTCATCGGGCTAATTAGCGGGAGTGCGCGGAGGCTGACCGCGTGATCCGGGGAGGCAGGTGAGGAGGTGGCGCAAGGAGGGTCGCGGAGGCGCTAAGCCCGAGTTTCCCGACCTCGGCACGTTTGGCTTACCATGTGGCGGTGTGTTCCTTCCGCCGCGGCTTTCGCGTCTTCCACGATGGCGCTCCTCCCAATCGACGCCCGCTGCGAGGCGAGGCAACTTCTAATCGAGACTGAAACGCCGATTATTTAATGCTTACAGAGCTACGACAATTTTGTCTATTGACTGGCTAAGACAATCACCTCTTCGCCTCGAGAAGTAGGAGGAAGGATTTTCGTTGATCACGCTTTAATGATGAAAAAAAGTGGAACTTGGATGTGATTGCGTCGATGAGTTCGCAAGAAGGAACAGACGTGTGCGTTCTCTTG